GCGAGACACAGAGCACCTACAGCTTTCTCTAGGCAGGGACAGGGACAGGGCTCCCACTAATGACATGTGCCCAACTCCTAGTGGGAGTCCTACAATTCCTGAGTGCAGGTGCAGTGAGCTGGGTGCTTCTCAGTGCAGAGCTGTGTGCATCTGCTGCGGGGAATGCCAGAGGCAGGAGATGCAGCTGTACCCCTCTAAGAAGCTATGCCAAGACTTGAACAGAAAATAAATAGCAATTCAACACCACTGAAGATAACCTCTCTGAGCCACTTCCTCATCTGCAAACAGAGACAGCTTTTATCTCATATGATTTGAGTAGGGATTAAATAAGGTTGCTTTTATAAAGTGCCTGACACTACTCTGTAGATACCAAGTGGCAACTATTATTAAAATACACACACACACATTCAACACAGGAGATGTCACAAGGCAGGCAAGTCCTAATGCCAATGTCATGGATAAACAATAAGGGAAAAGGGTTTGGGGGAGAAAGAGAAAGTGACTGCTATGGGCTGGGAAGACCTCCCAAAAGGAGAAGAATTTGCATGGCCCTGAAAGTTACTACAGTGAGCTGGGCACTCTACCAGGCACCCACATTCAGCTTCTACATTGGTCCTAAGGATGAGGTAAGTCAGGTTCAGAGAATGAGGTGCATGAACTTCAAGGTTCATGGCCACACAGGTACCAAGAGGCAGTGTCAGGAGCAGAAGCCAGGGCTTCTGACCACGTCTTTCCTTTATACCAGGGCTGGACACCATGGGGCTGGCTGGGAAGGAGAGGAAAGGCAAACTTCGTGGGGGCTCAGCTGAATGAAGTCTGGGTAGTCTGACCAACTCAGCCCTCTAAGTGGCTTGGCACTCCTAGAGACACATGTCCTACCTGAAGCCTTCCTCCCAGTCCCCATCTGACCTCCTCCCACTGTTCTGCAGTCAGTCTGCTATTTTCCCAAAGAGAAAAAGGTCTTCTCTTTCTTTTCAGAGAGTCCCATCTGGGCTTCTTGAGACATTTCAAGGTGACCTTTAAGCTATTTGTTCTTCTCTTCTTTTGAGAAGTGAGAGACACCTTCTAGTGTCATTCTGACAGGAAACCAGTTGCTGGGTCTGATATCCATGCATGTGAAGTGGGCAGTGACCCCATCTCCCCATTCACAGACTTGTTCTACAGAGGAGATGGCAGGATTCGCCTTGCAAAGACCAAAACCAAAAAAAGCTCTAAGATGTAAAGGGACAAAAGAAGGCTTTTGTGTCCCTGGTCAGGAGACAAGATGAATACCTGCTTTATGGGCTCCTGGGCCTCTGCCAGGCATTCTGGGTTAGGAATATGGGTAAACAAATGCAGGAGATGCCAGTGGTGAGCTGGGTTACAGTGAGGCTCTCCCTTGGAACAAGTACTAGGTGGGAGTCAGGTGAACTCAGAACAAAGCAGAGTTCCTGTAAGGTCCAAAGCACAATGTGGGGCGGGGAATGCACCTAACCCCTAAGGGTTGAGTGATCCCCATAGTTTTCCCAATAGGCGAAATCCCCTTCATACCACCAGCCCCTCCCCATTAAGGAAAAGCAAGAATTTCTGACTGTTGGGGAGAGAAAAGAGGCCCAGAGAAGGAAGGTGACTTGCCTAATGTCACCCCTTGAGTCAGAGGTAGACTAGAACTCAGAAGCAACTATTCTAGAACTTCAGCTCCCACCCTGCTCCTCCCACCCCAGTCTCTGCAAGAGTCTACCTGAGACTCTGCTCCATGGTTAGGGTAGGAAGGAGAACTGAACAAAGCACTTTCTATTCTTAAAGGAGGGTAACCTGCTTGGGAAGCAGCTGCCATAGATGACAGAATGAGGGCTCCAATATAACTCCTACCCACGCTGGGGTGTTGAGAGAATAGGCAAGACCCCAAAATAAGCTCCCAGGCTCTTGGGTATCAGAAAGTGCAGAGGGAGCATGGCCTCAGCCCCCACCACTATCCCACAGGGCAGCTGGTGCCATCTTCCCTCTTGCCACGACCAGCTCAAGTGAACAGAACAGGACACACGGAAACCCTGAAACCTTAAGGAAGGACCCCAGTGGCAGCCTAGGTTTGAGAGAGTTGTAATCCTTCAGCTCAGAGGAAGGTTGTAGGAGGCTGAGGTAGGGATGCATTTGCTGTAGGTGGTTAAAATATTAACAGGGGCAGCTGCCACTCATTGAACACTTCCTTGTATATACAAACTCAATTTTTTTTTAACTTTTTTTTTTTTTTTAGAGATGGGGTTTCTCCATGTTGGTCGCACTGGTCTCAAACTCCAGACCTCAGGTGACTCGCCCATCTCAGCCTCCCGAAGTGCTGGGATTACAGGCGTGAGCCACAGAGCCCAGCCATGAACTCAATTGTATATGCATTAATTTATTTAATCATCACATTAATAGCACTATAACTGGATACTATTAGCTCCCATTTTATTTTACGATTTCTTGGGGCGGGGGACAGATTTTCCCTCTTGTTGCCCAGGCTGGAGTGCAATGGCGCAATCTTGGTTCACTGCAACCTCTGTCTCCCAGATTCAAGCAATTCATCTGCCTCAGCCTCCCGAGTAACTAGGATTACAGGTGTCCACCACCATGCCCAGCTAATTTTTTGCATTTTTAGTAGAGAAGGGGTTTCACTATATTGGCCAGGCTGGTCTCAAACTCCTGACCCCATCAAGCGATCAACCCATCTCAGCCTCCCAAAGTGCTGGGATTACAGGTGTGAGCCACTGCGCCCTGCATAGTTCCCATTTTATACATGAGGAAACTGAGGCTCAGAGAAACTGCTAAGTGGCAGAGTGGTAGCTTAATTCTACACTGCAAAGGCGAAGCTGGGGAAATGGGCTTTCATTTTTGTGGCCTGGACAGGGACTCTTCAGATCTTTTGGCTGCCTTTCTCTCCACTCATGGCCAGCTGCCAGAGCTCCCGTTTTCAGAGGCAGAAACAGACTTTTGGAAAGGAGACCAAGTCCAGCCTCATCATTTTACGATGGGAAAACTGAGGCCCAAGGCTGAGTGACTTGCCAGAGTTCCCAGAGTCAGTGGAATGACAGAAATATCATACCTGGAAGGGACCACGAAGATCAACTGATGGGTAGGGGGGCGTGGCTGGTCCAAGGACAGAGGGAGGTGGGAAGAGATGCCAGGTTTTCCCGACTTCTAGACTGATACTGTTGCCATGGCACCATCTCTGCTCTCCAGCTGCCCAGGGTCCTGGGCACAGCACTTGGGTGGTAACAAAGCAGGCCAGGCCAAGCTGACCTCATTAGCACTAGAGATATCAGGCCGGTAGGGACAAACCTCTGACTGCCTAGAGTGGGGTCTCTGTGGTCATGCAGTCGTCCCACCAGCAGGCACGGAGACTCGAAGTGTGCCTGCCAGCCCCGAATGCCCTAATATCATGCCAGGTGTGGTGCGGAGGTGAGGGGATTGGAGACAGGAGGCAATTTATAGATAGCACTTATGAGGTTTCCTCCTGGTCTCACATAGTCAAATGACATCACTGTTACTAAAGCTTCTTACAGCAAATAAGATGATGTTTCATAACTTAATTGATATGGTCAAATTGAGAGTCTTACCCATTTCACACGTGAGGCGGACCTGCAGAAAAAGGCCTCAGCTATTCAAGGTCATGCATTTATGTTGGAATCAGTACACATGGTTCCCCTTGTCCAGTCCTTGATTTTTCTCCAGGAAGCTAACTGCCGTCAGGGTATAGGTACTGATGGCTTAGTTCCACGTAAGGCTCTGCTACTGTGACCAGTTTAGCACAAGAGCCCTGCACCAGGAACCCAGCTCCTGGATCTATCAAATCAGAGGCACCGCTTCCCTCCCGCAGCATGTCCCAGAGCCTGCTCACACCAGGCCGGCAGCACTGCTCAAATTCTTCATGTCCTTGGGAGAGCTGGAAGGTTTCCTGCCAAATCTCCAAACCTAAATCTCAGGCAAAGGGGACAGCAAGTCCCAGGACCTTCCACAGACAGCTGGGGGCAAGCTGAAAATGCACAGGCAGGCTTCAAAGTCCCCTGGACACCACTTCCAGGGACTTTTGGGCTGTGCAGGCTCCAGTGAGCTCCCCCACTCAGCAGAACAGGGTACTTAGGCCTAGCAGGAGAACCAACACTCTGAGAGGGAATAACTTTTCTGTTTCATTCTCCCCAAAAGGTTTCTAAGTCTCTTCAGGCCTGAACATCCACAGGCGCTCCCCCTGTACCTCACCTACTTGATTGAGCAGCAGGCCAGACAACACCCTGAAACACAGTCAGGCAGCAACCTGGGGGTGAGCTGGGCTCAGACCAAGCCTCAACCTCCTCTACTCTCCCTCCACTCCCAAAACAGACTTCAGAAATTGTCCCACAGATTGTATAAAGTATGGCATTCCTGGGCCGGAAACTGACTCAGGGGCTCCTAACCAGCCCGAGCAGGCAAAGCTGACAGATAACATTCTGGAGATGAAGGAAAGGTGAGAATATGGGGATCCCCTGTGTTCCACCACGCTTGTAAGTTTCCTGCATCCAGGTCTCCACTATGCTCAAACTCCTCAAGCAGGCCAAGTAGAAATATACCTCATCCTGGAACACACTCCAGTGAAGTCTGTCATAAATTGCACTGGTTGCTGTTGACAGAGCAGAATGTGCCACTCACCAGAAGACACTCCTTTCTGGCTCACACACAACAGGGTGCCTGGCTCCCCTGGGAGTCTGGCCCAGCCAGAGGAGACTTGCCAGTCGTGGAAGCCTTACTGAAGGAACCCAGGATCGGAGGCATCCCATCTCTAATCCTGCTCTCTTCCGTGCAGTGCTGACTCCAATCTGGGGAGCCTCAGATCACAGATCAGAGGCCACAGGGCTGGAGCTTGAGAAGAACCAAGATGGCAGTATGGAGACTGGCCTACCTTATGGGGGTAATTCAGATACTTATTCCTGGACAGCCCCAAATGGTGTGAGATGGGGCAAGCTCACCAGTCTGGAGACGACTGCAGCATCGGAGCGAACAGGACTTACCTATCTTCATGAGGCAAGCCAGAAGGATCCAGAGGGAGATCTCGAAGGGGGTGCGCACGTGTGTGTAATCGATGCCCAGGACTGGAAAGGCCTTTCGCGGCTTCATGCCATGATCAGTGACGGAATGATTAACAGGGCGGCTCTCTGGGGTGACCTCCGGTGGGGCGGTGGTGACATCCCCAATCGAGCGTTCCCGCGGTGGCTCTGAACTTCGAATGGTGCTGGCAGTTGGGCTGAGCTGGAGGCCATGGCTGCTGAGAACAGGTAGGAGCCCCACCAAAGCGACCACCACGAGCAAGGAAGGGAAGATCCGAGGTGGAGAGAGGCCACAGATGCCAGACCGCAGAAGCATGGTGGTGCTCCCCGAGCCGGCCTCGACCTTAGCCAAGTGAGAGTAAAACCGGGCACATAGGTAGCAAAGGGTCAGCAAGTGGGAAGACAAACTAACGTAGTCTCTAGGAAAAGTTCATGTTTTAGAGAGGCATTTCGGTGGAAGCAATTTTCTGGGAGTGGAGGGAGCCTGAGTTTGCAATCTGGATCTCTAAAGTGGGGAAAGGGGACAAAGACCCAGGAAAGACCACGGAAGGAGATCAAAAGGTCTGGAACTCCGGCCCTGGGAGGAGGGGAGGGATGTGGGAAACTGTGCCCCAGGGATAGAAGAAAGGGCAGGACAGGCTGGACCCGTGCAAGGGAAAGGAAGAGGGGAGGCTGGGACCTTTGGATGAGGAAAGTGACTGAGCAGCTGGGACTCTGGGCTGAGGGAAGCGGTAGGGAGCCTGAGCTAAAGGAAGAGGACCAAAGGGAGTGAGACCCAGTCCAGGAAAAGGAGAGAGGGAGCTGGGAACCCAGGCTGCAAAGGAGTGAAACCGGGAGGCGGCCGGGAGCTTGTCCACCCAGAGAAGGGCAGGGGTCCAGGCGCACCGGGCTGAGATTCCGGGGAAATGGAGAAAGGCGGAAGGTCGGAGGCAGGCGGCCTGGCGGGAAGGCGCCTCGGCGCGGGCTGGGGGCGGCTCGCGGTGGGCCAGCAGCAACACGCTCCTCCTTTCGGCCCCGGCGCGGGGGAGCGCTCCGCCCCGGCCCAGCTGCAGCTCCTCCTGGTCCAGCTCCAGCACTAACCCCGGCCCCGGCCCCGGCAGCAGTGGACTGAAGCCTCGATGAGCCCGGCGCTGCCACTTATAGCCACCAGTGAGCAGCCGGCGCGACGGGCTAGAGAGACTGTCGGCGCCCGCGCAGCGCAGCGGCCCCTGTCGCCGAGGGAAGGAAGTATCGCGTAGGAAGAGGAAGGAGAGTCAGAGATGACAAAAAAAAAAAAAAAAAACCCCAAAAAAAAAAAAAAAAAAAACCCCCAAAAAAAAAAAAACAGAGATCCTCACTAACGCAGGTAAAATGCCAACTACTTACAAAGCGCTTTCACGTCCACATCTGCAGTCTCATAAAGGCTTTCCAATAATCCTGTGAAGAATATATTGTTTATGTATTTAGTTACCGTGTGACCTTGAGCAAGTTACTTAACCTCTCTGTTTCATAACTTTCTCGTCTGCTAAGGGGAGACAGCAGTACTGCCTATGTCAATGGGATGATGTGATGACTGAGATATCCATGTGCATCCTGGCACATTATTACAATTTCAGTTTTACAGACGGGTAAACAGATGAAGAGAGTCCCCTGGCTACTATGTAAGTAATTGTGTCGTTTACTAGGGCTGCTGTAACGAAGTACCACTAACTGGGTGGCTGCAACCACAGGAGTTGATTGTCTCCCAGTTCTGGAGGCTGGAGGTCGGATCTAGGTGCTGGCAGGGTTGGTTTCCGCTGAGTGCTGTGAGGGAGAATCTGTCCCATGTCGTTCTCCTATCTTCCGGTGGTTTGCTGGGAATGTCTGGTATTCCAGGGAGTTCTCTCTGTGTCTCCGTTTCTGGGTCCAGATTCCCCATCCCCACTTTTTTTTGTTGTTGTTTTTGTGTGTGTGTGTGAGACAGAGTGTCCCTCTTGTTCTCCAGGCTGGAGTGCAGTGATGCGATCTCAGCTCACTGCCACCTCTGCCTCCTGGATTCAAGCAATTCTCCTTCCTCAGCCTCCCGAGTAGCTGGGATTACAAGCGCCAGCTTGTATAGTAGAGATGGGGTTTTTTAATAGAGATGGGACTTTTAATAGAGATGGGGTTTCACCATGTTGTTCAGGCTGGTCTGGAACTCCTGACCTCAGGTGATCCACCTGTCTTGACCTCCCAAAGTGCTGGGATAACAGGGGTGAGGCACCATGCCTGGCCAGATTTCCCCTTTTTATAAGGACACCAGTCATTGGATTAGGAATCCAACCTAATGACTTCATCTTAACCTGATCATCTTCAAAGATTCCATCCTAATTAGTCCATGTTCACAGGCACTGGACATTAGGACTTCAACTTCTTTTGCGGGACACAATTCAAGCCACAACAGTGGCATGGTTTAAGTAGTGGAACTTAAATTTGAACCTATGATGTTGGTTAAAATTGGTGAGGTTCAGGCCGGGCGCGGTGGCTCAAGCCTGTAATCCCAGCACTTTGGGAGGCCGAGGCGGGTGGATCACAAGGTCAAGAGATCGAGACCATCCTGGTCAACACGGTGAAACCCCGTCTCTACTAAAAATCCAAAAAATTAGCTGGGCATGGTGGCACGTGCCTGTAATCCCAGCGACTCGGGAGGCTGGGGCAGGAGAATTGCCTGAACCCAGGAGGCGGAGGTTGCGGTGAGCCGAGATCGTGCCATTGCACTCCAGCCTGGGTAACAAGAGTGAAACTCCATCTCAAAAAAAAAAAAATAATAATAATAATAATAATAAGCTGGGAGCAGTGGCGCATGCCTATAATCTCAACAACTCAGGAGGCTGAGATGGGAGTTATCACTTGAGGCCAGGAGTTTAAGACCAGCCTGGGCAGCATAGTGAGATCCTGTCTCTAAAACAAATAAATGAAATAAAATAATAATATCCAGGTGCAGTGGTATGCACCTATAGTCCCAGCTACTTGGGAGGCTGAGGCAGGAGAATCACCTGAGCCCAGGAATTGGAAGCTATAAAGCACTATGACTGTGCCTGTGAAATAGCCACTGCACTCCAGCCTGGGAAACATAATGAGACCCATTTCTAAAAATTAATTAGGCTGTGCATGGTGACTCACGCCTGTAATTCCAGCACTGTGGGAGGCTGAGGCAGGCGGATCACTTGAGATCAGGAGTTCTAGACTAGCCTGGCCGGCATGGCGAAACCCTGTCCCTACCAAAAAATACAAAAATCGTCTGGGAGTGGTGGTGCATGGCTATAGTCCCAGCTACTCAGGAGGCTAAGGTGGGAGAATCCCTTGAATCCCTTGGAGGTTGCAGTGAGCCGAGATTGTGCCACAGCACTCCACCCTGGGTGAGAGAGAGAGACTCTGTCTCAAAATAAATAAATAAATAAATTCTAAAATAAAATAATTGGCCAGGTACGGTGGCTCATGCCTATATGCCTAGCATTTTGGGAAGCTCAGGCGAATGGATCACAAGGTCAGGAGTTCGAGACCAGTCTGGCCAGCATGGTGAAAACCTGTCTCTACTAAAAATACAAAAATTAGCTGGGCATAGTGACACGCACCTGTAATCCTAGCTACTCGGGAGGCTGAGGTAGGAGAATCGCTTGAACCTGGGAGGTGGAGGTTGCAGTGAGCCGAGATCATGCCACTGCACTCCAGCCTGGGTGACAGTGAGGCTGTATCTCAAAGTAAATAAATAAATTAATTACTTAATTAATAACAGAGTGATATGATAGTAACTGAGGCGGGCAACATTAAACCGAGTTCTCTCTCTCTCTCTCTTTTAATAATCTCATGCTTAAACTGAGTTCTCTGTACCTCACATTCTACAGGTACAAGTTCCAGCCACCTGGGAAATGACAAAAGAGCCTTCAGAGAAGGGCAGCGGCCTTGTGTCATCTGGGAGCAAATGAAAGGAGAACATCAGCTATAATGGAAGTAACCAAAGATCATTTAGAGCAAGGATCAGAATAATAACAATAATGCCTCACAATTGTTTAGCCCTTCAGGGTTCACAACCAAGTGCCCCAGGTTTATCAATGATCCAAATCCTAGGGTGGGCGCGGTGGCTCACGCCTGTAATCCCAGTACTTTGGGAGGACAAGAGAGGTGGATCACCTAACATCAGGAGTTTGTGACCAGCCTGGCCAACACGGTGAAACCCAGTCTCTACTAAAAATACAAAATTAGCCGGGCGTGGTGGTGCATGCCTGTAATCCCAGCTGCTCGGGAGGCTGAGGCAGGAGAATTGCTTGAACCTGGGAGGCAGAGGTTACAGTGAGCTGAGATTGTGCCATTGCATTCCAGCCTGAGCAACAAGAGCAAAACTCTATCTCAAA